GGGGGGGGGGGGGGGGGGGGGGGGGGGGGGGGGGGGGGGGGGGAGGGCGGCGAGGGCGGCCGGATCAACGCCGCTGGCGATGCCCCAGTGGAATGCGAACGGCCTTGCTGAGACTGTGTTCGGGAGGCGGGGCTCGAGGGGTTTACAGTCGAGGGTGGGGCGGCCGGCGGGGACCGGGGCAGGGGGCGATGACAACCGGGTTGAGCAAGGCGCCGCGGAAGGGGAGCCGGCGAGCCTAGAGCACGTGCGGCAGGGTCTGCTTACGCTGCACACCCTCTTGTCGGGGACCGCGAGCAGCAGGAGGCGACAAGTGCTCGACTCCTCCTCGGACGGGGCAGGGGCGGTGAGAGATAAACGAGTTTGCTTGGCCCTTTTGCCCGATAGACGAGGGGAAGAAGTAGGCCTGATTCGGTCCTGTGGACAGTATCGCAGGCAGCCGTTGTGTTTTTGTGATGTGTTGCATGAAATAGAGAGAGGGGGGCACGAAGGAGGGCTAGTTTTGACCTGTATCAGCAGGGGGAATGGTGCGATGTTCATAAGCGGTGTGCGGTACCGGCCGTCACGAAAGACTGCCACGGGCCTGGGGCCCGCTTGTGTTCACGAGGCCGCTGCTTGGCGTTGGGTGCTCTGCAGGGCTTGGGCGTGGCACTCGGGGCTTTGGCGGCACCGTGTTCGTTTTGCATGACGCTAGCCTTAATCTCTTCCGGGAACATTCTCCCATTTCCCAACCTTAGACTTGACTAGGGTGCGATAATCGGCGATCGTTCTACAATGTCTGAAATCATCCTGACGCGTGCGCGATAAAACGCCTTGTATGTGGCGCTCAATCTACTGGGCAGTGAGCACTCAAGCAATAGTAGTTGTGTGTTTGGTCTGTGCAAAAGGAGCCGTGTAAAGCCGTAGAAGGAGGTTATGTCAACCCGAAGACCCAGTTCAACACAGGAAATTTACGCCGCTTCAGACATCCTAATCCGGTCGTACTACCAGTATCATCCCCCCCCAGAGGAGATTAGGGCCGTCTCAAGCGTCTTGATCCGCTCGGACTATCGTTCTCACCCCCCCCCTCCCTTCAGCCTTACCCCGTTCCCGCCCTTTATCCCTCTCTTACACGACCCCCCAAAACACCCGGCCATCTTGTAATCCTTGAAACACCTCCTTGTTTTGTCACGCACAGCACGCGGCCGAACATGCTAGTACCACGGAGCGGGCGGCAGGTGGCGATGATCACGCCGAAGATGACGATGACCTCGGCCTCGCAGCACCAGCAGTACCAGCAGCAGCACCAGCAGCGGCACCAGGGGTAGCAGTGGCGGCAGTACGGAGGGCTGGTGTAGCACCTGCAGCGGAGGCGATTCTTTCACCACCAGCAGCGACGGGCGACGCGCTGGACAGCGACCAAGAGACGGCTGAAGCAGAGGCTTCCACGAGAGAAGCAGGAGAAGTTGGAGCGGCGGCGGGGGTGCTAAAATCCCAACCGGAAGCCGAACAGCAGGACGAGGAAGCAGCGGTCGAGGCGTCGTCGTCCGACGTCCCGATTCTCGACGAAGGTGGCGACAGAGGCCCTCCCGCGAGGGGGGGGGCCCTGCCCAAGGCGTCCTTGGACGACGGTTCGGAGGAGGGGGACCGCGGTAGGGAAGAGGAGGGAGGGGGAGGGAAAGGTGACAAGGCCAAAGAAGGCGCGGACGGAGAGGAAGAAGAAGGCGAAGGTCGGGGGGCCAGCTCTGCATCGCGGGAGCCGGGAAGGGGGTCGCCTTCGTTAACCTGGCCGTTGCTGGGGCCAGACGAAGGGGCGGAAGCGGCGGAGTCCAGGTTCGGGTTGAGGTCGGGGTCGGAGTCTGAGGTTTCCGAGGGCCCCCCGCGGCTTCAGTCGGACAGCGAGGATAGGTGAGCGAGAGAGGACGTGCAAAACATTGTGTGCTGTTGATGGTTTTCTCTTCTTGCTTATTTTGTTCAGATTTGGCTTCAGTCTCGTTTGGAGTCGACATCCATGGGTGCATCTCTCGTCCCGATTCCCCCAACGTTGCCCGATTGGGTCTCAAAGTACCGATCTCGAGCTGTGACGCATAAAGTATCCGTCACCTCTCAAACATGGCTGGATTGGGAATCATGAGACCCCTTCCCAAGTTGAAGCTGCCTCCGCCTCCTGTGGCGGACAAAACTCGACGTGGGATATTTTTCGCATCGAGGGCGCAGCACAGAGTGTGATAAGAGAACCTCGACGGCAATCAGACCTGATGCTCCCCCCCGACGTAGCCAACAATCAACCCGGGTTGTCGCACGGAATACCTCCCCCTGCACCAGGAAAGCATCCTGGGAGCCAACGCACCCTGACGTCAATGCACCCTGGTGGCAATGCCTTCCCTCGAAAACCTTATGTCCCTCCCGCTCTCGCCCAACCCAACCCTTGCCCCTTGTCATGCCTCCGGACCGTTACCCCCTTACAGTACAAATTAAATCTCCGCACTTACCGCAACAACAACAACAACAACATAACCCCCCCCTCCTGCAGCAGTGACGATGACGATGATGAAGATGACGAAGGCGACAGCGACGACGAGCAGGGCGGCAACTGGGGAGACCACGGCGCCATCTCGAGGCGGGGCTGGACGCGAGGGTTCTTGAGGGGGTCCCGCAGAGGGATGGAAGGCGGGGGTGGGGGAGAGGAGTGCAAAGAAGACGGGTCTTCCGCCTCCGACCGCCGGTGGCAGCTGCGGCGGCGCTTCTACGTTGGGCAGTGGCTCGACGTGAAGGACACCGTGAACAACTGGCTGGAGGCGACAGTAATGGACATGACCAGCTCTGGTGAGAGGAGGCGAAAGCGAGAAACTGGCTTCTTCCACTACATCTGTTTTTTTTAATCGTTTGCCAAATTATTGGTGTTGCTCATTTTTGGTACGTCTCCTTTTATCATATCCTTCCTCATGTTGAGTGCGTTGGACTGTTTTTTTTTCGTGTTTGCCTTTATGGCATGCGGTTAAATCCTTGCTCCGTCAGATTTATCAGGCATGCCACCCAGACCTTTCAAGTGGTGGATGTCCCCTTCCTCTCGCGCGAGGGCATGGTTGTTGTCTTGATGTTCTTGTCCTCGTGACCACCTTCTACTATTATACGTGTCATGTCGCTGGTTGTTACCTGCCGGGATGTTTCGGCCTGCTGATATGCTGGTCAGGGCCAATGTTTCAACGTGAAAGCAGTAGTGGAAGGCACGGATATTTTCCCGTTATAGCCTCCCGAAGCCTTCCTTTTTTGCGTAACCCTAAACGAATGCAGTAATCACACACGACACACGCGCACAAAAGTAGCGGCCTTGGTAGACACTTAACAGTTTTCTGCTGCTGCTACCGTTTCTGTCTTCGATCCGGAGAGTAATCTAGCCTCCCCCATTACGCCCCCTCACGCGGTCCCACATGACGGCCTTTAGAAGCATTTTGTGTCTTCAACCGCACTGAGCCCGGCGTCATTTCATCGCTCAGCCCGTTATCGCGGTCGATGCTCACAATGAACACACACAAAACACACACAACGCAGGCTCGAGACTCCAGATCCACTACAACGGGTGGCCCCCCCGATGGGACGAGTGGCTCAGCTGGGACTCGCCACGGATCGCGCCCTTCCGCACGCGGACGCAGCACCTCCCGCAAGCGCAGCACGTGTCGCCGGCGCCGGTGTCTGCGGTCCGGAACGCTCCCAGGACCGGTCCGCTGGTCGACGACGTGAGGGTGGTGATGCCCGAGGTTAGCCGCGTGCTCCAGGAGATCGTGCCGATGGTGGACGAGGTAAAGCCTACGCGAGCGGGGGGAGGGGGGGCGGNGGGGGGGGGGGGGGGGGGGGGGGGGGGGGGGGGGGGGGGGGGGGGGGGGGGGGGGGGGGGGGGGGGCATGTCTTGGAGAGGTTGTGAGTGTGAGCAGGGAGCGTTTCTTTGTGCGGCTGTGGGAAAGGGGTGTTTGTTTCTGGCGAACTTTCAACATTATTTAGAAAGGGGTTGCAGGCGCGGTTTGGACGGACTAACGATGCGGAAGGAGTTGTGAAGAGAGTGGAGCGGGTAGGGTCGCGTGATAGTTTCGACCTCGGTGTGCGGTACATTGCTGCGCTTTGTTGCGTTTCGACGGCGCCGTTAACTGTACCGAACGATCGTCCTCTATCGAGCCAGCCAGACATCCTCGCGTTGACTCGCGCCGCATGCGAATCGCAGGGTTTGTGTTGTTCTTCGCTGACCGCTGCGTCCACGCTCTGCTCGTGTGTGTATACCGTTGCCCCCCCCTTTCCTTTCGTGCATGCGCTTCCCCATCACGACGGCTGTTGCTTGTCTTCCCTGTCTGCTGACCACGCGATTCCCCGTCATGTTTTCTCCGTTTGTTCTCGTGTGTTCGTTTTATTTTGTGGCAGCTCTCGGCGTGCTACGCGCAACAGCTAGAGTTAGACCCTTCCACCAGCCCCACTGGTGGCCGCGCCGTTTCTCACACCTTGCCGTGGGCACGGCAACGCGTGCAGCTGCGCCAACAGGGGCGTGCCGCCGCCCCCGCCGCTGCCGCTCGGTCGGCGACGGCGGGCGGGGTCTGTAGAGGGGTCAAGGCCGCCGATCTAGCCGCCGATATCGCCCCGCTCTTTGATCGCCTGGGGCGCATGCTCACCGACGTTGCGCCTCACCTTGCACGTCTGTCGGCGATGGAAGAGGACACAACGGTTCCCGCTAGTGGCGGCGGCGGGGGCGCTGCGGCTGGCGCGGAGGGAGAGGACGTGGCCGAGCCGGGGGAGCTCTCATGGGAAGCCCTAGGCCTCCGCGCAGACGGGGGGCAGCAGGGGGGGGGTAGTGGCGCGCGGCGCTCCTCCCGAGACTCCCCCCCGCGGGGGCGGCGGGAAGCGTTAGCGTACCCGGCGAATGCGTCCGCGTTCCGGCAGCTGGTGTCCACGTCCAGCCCGGCGCCGACATCGAGCAACATTAACATCCACATCCACGCCATCGTTCCGATGAGGGGTCCCCCCTCGCCTCCGCCCCCGCCCCCGCCGCCGCCCCCGACGGCGTCCGTGTCGGCGGTGGCGACTCCGACTCGAGCCGAGCGCCCCCCCCTCGCCTCCGTTAGCTCGACAGGTGGCAGCCGCAGCAGCAACAACAACAGCAGCAACAGCAGCAACAACAACGGCGGTAACAGCCGGCCGTGGAACGGCAACGGCAACAGCATGGACACGTTCGTGGTTGCGGCTCGCGCGGCCGCTGCTTCCCGCGCAGCAGCAGCAGCAGCAGCAGCAGCAGCAGCGTCGTCTTCCGCTCGCGGCGGGGGGGACTCCGGCTCCGCTGCCGAGCGCGCCGGCGCCGGTGCAGGCGGCGACTCTAGTTCAAGCCGCAGTTCTAGCCGCAGCGGCGCCTACGTTTCCACTCCCGCCGACCCCGCGAGACAAGCCTCGCCGCTCACGATTTCGGCTGCCGTCAGACCCACGCCGTCCTTCTCCTCTGCCGACGGGGGGGCCGCGGCCGTCGCTCTCGGCGCCGCCTCCGATGCGGGTGCTGGTGCTACGAGATCTTCCTCGGGGGTGACTAGCTCAGGTCCGGGGGGGGGAGGCGGGGGCCCCGGCAACATGCATCGGCGTGGCGGGGGCTGGAGAGGGTTGCTTCGCGTGTTCGGGGTGGGCAGGAACGCCGGGGGCATGAACAGGGTAAGCGGCAGGCGAGAAGGCGGTGGCGAGCACTAGGCTTGCGAGGTTGAGGCTGGGAGGGAGGGAGGGCCATGCATGCGTGGATTTTGTTTCTGGACCCTCACTGCTGCTGCTGTTGTACGTACCTGTTTGGGTGGTAGCAGTGACCAAGGACCACGTGATTCTTTTGCAATTGGTCAGCCGATTGGTTGGCACGGTTGCCAACTGCTGTCGCTTGACCTGACCTGGTTCGAGGCGACGGCGGACTCAGCGCTGAAGGATGCCTGCCTCTCCGATCGGGCGGGCGTGGCGCAGCAGGCGACATGTGTGATTTGTTTTTGAAGTGCTCTGCCCCCCGGCGGTGGCTGGACCTCAGGTGGAGGACGTCCAGCCCTGCGCTTGAGTTTTTGCTTGCGTGTCTCGTTCTTTTTCCTCAGTGGGTGGGGGAGACAGAGACACGGCGGAGGAAGGTCGATTTTGTCGTGCATGCCTCGGCCTCGCCCCTGGTCGAGAGTCGTGCCGCAGGAAGAGAATCAAGCTTCACCAGGGAGAGAGACCGAATTTCGAGGAAGGGTTGGGCGTTGTTAGCCGTGCGACTGGTCAGCTTAGCGCGAGGCTTGGTCTTGGTCGTCTTGCGGGGATCGGTCAAGTCTTTTCTGTTGAGAATTGTCTTGGTGCTCTCGTTGGCTCGGCTGTCGCTGCTTCCGCTGTTGCTGCGCGCCGCCTTTTGTGGAGGGATGCGTCCGACCCAGCCATGAAAGGACACGTAGGGTAATGGGGCGACTTGCTTCGATACGTGCGTGTCTCAGTGTAAGATCGACGTGCGCGCCCACTTCTTTTTCTTTTCTTTTTTTTTCGGTGGTTGTTCTGGGTTGATGGAATGAACGTGCACGCGTGGGTGACTCTTTTGGATGATAAAAAGACGGTCTAGTTTCCGTTCCTTACCATGGACCACACAGAGCTGGGAGCGGTTCGGGGCTGCAACAGCAGTAGCTCGCCGTCAGCGTTTGCTGCGCTAACTTGGAAAGCGTCCGATTTGCTCTCTGCGGAGCACATGTCGCACGTCGCTTGCTTGCTACACGAGTTTGTGCTAGGTTTGGTCGTTGGCAAAAAGAAACAGACAAAAAAAATGTTGGATTCCTAGTTTTTGAATGTTTACCGGTAGCTTGGATGTTTGTTTTCGGTGCGGAAGGGTGTGTCTAATCCGTGGTTGAAAGAAGTTGGTTGTTTGTGTCGGAACCGTGTTTTTTTTTGGGCACGTCGGGAGTAGTAAGAGCAAGTCACGTTGTCGAATGGGTGGTGGAGTACGTTGGGGGGGAATCCTCGGCATCCACGAAGAAATTCGGCTGCTTTGATAGGAAACAAGCGCACACGACCCGCACCCACCTCTGCAACTTGAACAGCATGTATGTGTGCGTAATGTTGTCTTTCGAGGCGTGCGGCGAGGGGACTGATTGGCTGATAACAGCATAAGGTTCCCGCGTGGTAGGTTAAGTTCTACAAAAAACGGGATGAAGATTTACGTTCACGTCGCCTGTCAGCAGCCAACGGGACTGGGATTGAGAAGAGCTGGGGGGGTGTTGGTTCGAGCGACGCCTCAAGAGCAAGGTTGCAAGGTTGGGATCGGGAGTCTGATTCAACGAATTCCTGCAAGTAGATGATATTTTGTCAAGCGGGAGTTTGGTTGTAACGGCTCGCATGGCGCGCATACTTCGCGTGTACTTCTATGTATATTATGAGGGGTCGCGGTCCTGGCTTGTTTTGTTCTTTATTTTCTTTTCCGATGGCGCGGCGCGGAGACCAAACTCCAGGTCAAGCATGCCAGCTCAACTGCTGGCGGTACCTACCGTGGTACGTGTTGTTTATGGATACCAGGTCTTGCTGTTGTCTGCTTCACCTCCTTTTCGGATCTTCTGTGTGTTGCCGCCCCCACCCTTCCCCCTCGGCTATTTTCACAGGTTACGCGTAAGTTGGGTCTTGTGTTGTCCCATCATTTTGGCGCTTTGCTTATTTTGCGATAAACGTTGCAGCTGTGTTTGTACGGACACACACACTTGGTCGAGTTCACACTCTTCTTTTTTTGTTCTAGTTCGATGCGTTAGGTCGCATGGTGCTGCTTCTTTTTTATTAGTTGTCTCTACAAGATGGTGTTTGTGGCTATCGGGGGGAGAGAAGCAAGGTACACACAGCAAGACACGGGCATTTGAATGAGTACTACGTGCACGAAAGGCTTGTTGTCAGAGCTCTCGAGTGTGTGTCCGAGTTTGCCGTGCATATTTTCTCTTGCGAATAAAAATGCTCAGGTCAGGTACATGATACCGACGCCCAGCAGGATGTAATAGCAGCATCGTGGGGTCGATTCTCTCTGCGGAGGTTTGTCCCGGGATTTATTTCCAGCAACGTGCAGTCGAAAGCGATCTAAGTCGTGAGTGAACACACTTAGGCTTAAGGTCGACGGGGGATGACTGAACCATTGTCGCGACAAGAACTAAGGTGCGGCAATATGCACAAGATCTCCTGTGCTCCTGTTTGACCTTCCTCTTGTGTGACCCCGGCTGATACGTCAGATATATACGCTGAAAGGCCCGTAAACCATGGCCAGAATATATTGATGGGACGGACACACAAAGAAACACATTGAGGTGTGAGCACATGGGCGTGGTGGGGGAGAGAAGGAGCTTCGCATAGCGTTGTCGAAAAAACTTTCAAACTGTTTGTGAAGTTGTCCAGAATGCTAACGATTTTTGGACAGCTATACTTACGCATCATGTACAACGTGAGAAGTGGCCAGATTAATCTCTTAGTAACGTATTATGGTTTTATCAGTCAAAAGTTTCGTCGGTGATTATTTAAACATTGCTTACAGTATCCTTGCTCATTTTCCAAACTTGCTCATCATTCCAAACTCTACCTACCTGTGCTGTATTTTGTATGCCTTCATCCCTGACGCAAAAGGCCAGGGAAGGGTAGATGTTGTTCTGTGCCGACAAGCCCTTTCGCTCTGCCGCAGTGTTTGTCAGGTATTTACTATGTAAACCTCGCAGGACACAAGATACCACACCCTCTTGCAGCAGTAGATTGATTTCGAAAGCTCCACATTTTCCACGAGTGTCATAGCACAAAATGTCGGCGTTGCACCCGTCTCGTCGAGAAACTTCCGAAAATGTATCGTTTCGTTTGCAGATTTATATATCTGGTTCGTCGTGAAGTAATCAAGCTCTGCCGTCTGACACGACGACCGGTGCAGGGGGTATGATATCTAACGTCACGCCTCTAGCGCAGCCCTGGTAGCTCGGAGTCTTAATCGCGTGCCCCCTGCCGAACAGCTCCATCCGCTGTAACTCTGCGACTGTGCACAGCAACACCCGAGACACACGCAAAACATGGGACCCACGCCCGACGTACGAGCGAGGGAATTGGTGGACGAATTCTTTGAAAAGCAAGATGAACCACAGTACATGCGAAACGTCCTAAGCGGGCTCTCGGGTATCATGCTGGTGAGTTCACAACTGAAAGGAGTTACCGTGAAACGCGGATCAATTACGCAGCAGCATTGTTGTACCAAGTTAAGAAAAATAAGTGCACAGCGATCGTCTCCCACACATGCTCCCCATGAGCAACCATGGTAGTGTGCCTAGGGTATTTTGGCCTTTCTGCCTTTCACTGCAGAGGTACGGAAGAGCTCTATTGCGAAGTTGCGTAGATCCCCCACGTTGTTAAGCGTAAATGGCGGGTGTGTGACGGGGCACTCTGACTCCCATTTTTAGATATGGCGGAGGGACACCCACCAACCACCACGCCAGCATTACCTGGTGTTTTGCCGCCAGGGTTGCCCAGCTGTACGCTTCTTTTCGTCCCTTTTTAGAAGTAAAGACGCCTTGGGTCAAATTAACAGTTTTGAATTTTCTATGTGAAGTGGAAGTGCACCTTATTTTCCCTGTGATGTACCAATCATTTGAAGAGCGGCGTCACGGCACTCCCTCCCCGCAACTGGGACTTTCGTCGCCACAGCAGCATCCACATGTGAATATACAGCAGGAGCTACAGTAATTTCATTGCGTACGCAACGTTCGGCTTGGACTCTCGACGAGGGAAAAGGGCGAATCCTCTTCTCGCGACGAAGAATAAACTCCGTCCCCGGTGCTGTCTTCCTCTTGTGCATCCGCACACTATCCGAGCAGTCGTGTACGTGAGACGTTCATATCAACTGATGTCCGCTTCAAAAAATTTGGAAGGGCAACATGGCAAACACAACACACAATCCTTTGGCCGAATGGGCATCCACGTGTGTGTTTCCCTACCTGTGTCTAATGCGAATAAAAACTTGTTGGTACGCGCCGACTTATGTATACGTGGGGGCAGAATTTTCTGCCTGAAAGAGACGCGTTTACATGTTTACATCGAACGAGCAATTTGGAGTAACTTCGTTTGTCCCTGGCCAATGTTGCGCCCTTTCCTCTTGTGTCGTGCACACATGAACATGCTTGGGTTGTACGAAAGCACACGCGCACGTGCATTGAACTTCCAACTACCCAACAAGCCGGCGTCAGTTAAGAGTACTATTTACTGTCCACAACACACACCGACCGCCGCCCTTCTCGTACACGCCGCAACCTCAAGAAAGACGACCCTCCTTTCTTTGACGCCCCCTTGCCCGAAGGTTTTCACAGCGGCGTTTTTCATATGCGCCTTGGTGGTGGCATCGATCGACAACGCCGGGTTCGACGTGGTCCTTACCGGCCTGCTCCTGTGCGTGTGGGAAGTCGGGGCGATATGGCTCCTCAAGCGCGGGCCGCATGACACTTCGGTGCGTCGTTGGTCTCGCGAGAACAAAAGCGTGTGGGCTGCTCAGCTTGCTCGAACAGACTGTGTTTTTTGACCCGTTTGTTTGTTATTCCCGTGTGAATTTGATGGTGGTTCGAGCACCCGTGTGTGTGTGTGTGTGTGTGTGTTTTTTATTTTTATTATTAGCATCGACCGCGCTAACCGGCTGACCAATTAAAAGACGTCAGTGCCAGCGGGTAAAAATCAAGGTCCGTGGAAGGGGGCCAAAATTCGAAAAATGCGCAATGCGCTTGAT